TATGGACGAAAGATCAAACAAAGTAAAAAAGTAGTCGGTACACAGTAGGAATGCTCTTAGTGAGCTTGGTTAGCTCAGTACGTAATTACCTATTATGTATTTTGCATTTAAAAATCCGACAAATAACATTTCTGTTTTTCCTTGCTTTGTTATCCGTCCTAATAGAGTACAAATCGAGAGAAAAGTAAAAAGGACTAAAAATGAAGTGAATTTGGGCGAAAAAGTAATCGGTACACGGTAGGAATGCTCAGTACTTAATTACCTATTATGTATTTAGCATCTAAAAATCTGACACAAAGCATAGATTAAAAATGATCAGAATAAAGATTATCAATTTGCCAACCGGAGCCATCAAAAGAAAGTGTACTCCAGTCTGAAGAGTGTGAATACATATTAAAGCTACAGTCAACCCACACGATAGGAAAGGCGACGTAGAATAGCATCGTCCAGATCACCTGGTCGGTTGGTGGCGCCAATGAAGAGGATACGACTGGATCGATTCGTGAGTATTCCATCCCAAAGAGCCATAAATTGAGTTTTCATCATACGAGTGCTTTCGTTGTCCTTCGAGGAACGCGTAGTGAGAAATGAATCTATTTGACATAAACAAGGTAGCGCAAAGAGTGGATTTATAAACCACTTCAAGAGACATGCCTGATATAGAAACAGATAAATAGCCAATTCGTATGAGCCCTACAATTCAATACTCAATGAATATACTGATAATAATGAAAGATATCCCTGACATTCGCCATCTACCAATTTTTCCGGAACTAATAGAAAGTTTGAAGCCAAAGATATTGTGGCCTTTAATGGATTCGCCTTAAAATTTTAACTAAAGCATGTAGACATTTCTTGTTTTAGTGTTGTGCCGAGATATAGTAAAGCAGAATGTCCTATTTTGACGATATTCATCACACTTAGGAGGAAAGCTTAGCAAGGATTCACCAAGGTAAAGCTGCGTTGCGCCGAGGACTTATTCGCATAAATCTATAGCTGCTGTGCCGAGGCAATCAGCTGCTGCTTTCTATGA